CCGTTTTTCTTCTAGCCCATCCTTCCGCACTCAGCTCAGAAGCTAATATCTACATCCTACACACACTCCCCACTAACCCATCTTCCCCTCAATCTATCTCACTAACGCATCCTCCCCTCCAACTAACTATCCCACTAACCCATCCCTCCCCCTCAACCTATCCCTATCCCACTAACCCATCCCTCCCCCTCAACCTATCCCACTAACCCATCCCCCCCCTCAACCTATCCCACTAAACCTCATCCACTCCCATCCATATCTGCCCCATCCTATCCCAAAGCAAGATGAGGCCAAACCCAAGTAGTAGTAGTGGTGGAGGAGGTGGGGGTGGTGGTGGTGGTGTTGGAGAAAAAAGTAGTTTGGAGGAGGACGTATTGGTGGTGGTGGTGGTGGTGGTAGTAGTATCTCGGCTCCCACCTGTCCACCTCCGCGGACATCGATGAAGAGATTCAGCATCGGATCAGATAATGTGCTGTGGGAGAGGTACAGTGGGAGAGGTACAGTGGGAGAGTGGTTACTGTGGGAGAGGTACAGTGGAACGGGTACTGTGTCAGAGGTACTGTGGGAGAGGTACAGTGGAACGGGTACTGTGTCAGAGGTACTGTGACAGGTGCTGTGGGAAAGTTACTGTGAAACAGGTGCTGTGGGAGGGTGGTTACTGTGGGAGAGGTACAGTGGAACGGGTACTGTAGGAGAGATACAGTGGAACGGGTACTGTAGGAGAGATACTGTGACAGATGTACAGTGGAACGGGTAATGTGGGAGAGATACTGTGACAGAGGTACTGTGGGAAAGGTACTGTGGCAGAGGTGCTGTGGGAGAGTTACAGTGGGAGGTATACTGTGGGAGGGGTAATGTGGGACGAGTACTGTGGGAGAGGTACTGTAGGAGAGTTACAGTGGGAGGGGTAATGTGGGACGAGTACTGTGGGAAAGGTACTGTGGGAGGGATACTGTGGGAGGGGTAATGTGGGAGAGGCGTTCTGGGAGAGGTACTGTGGGAGATAAGCGTATGACCTGAAGTAAGATATTCTTCAGTTGGTGAACCATAACCTAACTTAATTAATCTGACCAAATATAACATAACGTAACCTAACCTAACCTAACCAAACCTAACCAAAGCTAATCTATCCTAATTGTACAGACACATATATGATTCCTGGTGAAATACTTGAGCGCAGGTAAGCATTGATATCGTTACAGGTAGGTCTATACTTGAATAGGTACAGGTATACAAGAATGATGATTAGAGATAAATTATAACTATATATAAGTTTGTATTTATTACTAGAGGTACACGTGCAGTAATGACATACAGGTTAATATATACAGGTACAGGTGCAAAGAGATGTATACATTTAGGGTTTATTTAATTTTGTCTAGAATACTGTTGGAAGTTTTTGCTAAAGTGAGTCTCTCTCTCTCTCTCTCTCTCTCTCTCTCTCTCTCTCTCTACCAGCTCTACCTGTCAGGGGAGCCTTGCGGGTTACCAGACACCCGACACTACCAGGTTCAGACAGGTCCTCACCCCCACGGATTGAAGAATTGACGAGTTATTAGTCCACACATTGACGGCTAGCTGGGGCCACATGATGATTGGCGTCCGAGCTTATTTTCACTTGCTGATGAGACACCTTAACGCGAACTGGGTATGTTAGGTTAATCTGAAGGTATATACAAAACACTCAACACCTCTAGATTGACCTCGTAGTATCTATTAGGTGTTATGGGGGGGGGGGTGATCAACGGTGTTTACATAACTCGGTAATGCGGGAATAAAAAATGACAGCCAAATAACCTGACCCAGACAAGGACACCGTCGCCACTTGGGTCACGACACACAGACAGTCTCTTGGCCCTGAATGACTGACGGGGGTAGACTAACGGTCGGGTGTAAAAAAGTAAAAAAAAAAAAAAATAGAAGTATCTCGTGAATATTAGGATCCATCGGGAGTTTAAACTTGAGGTGGGTTAAACAGGGGTGCCGAGTCTTGAGGTGAAGCGATACACTAAGACCGGGTATACCACTGCCGGCGAGGACTGAGATCTACCGTGACCTCTTATTGACTTGGAGATATTATAAAAACCGGCCATTATTCCTTATTATTGTCATATTGCAGAACGGTAGATCAGGACGCACAATACTTTCCTTGCAGGGTCCAGACTGTCGTGTTACCATGGCCGAGTGAGGATCCCTTAACAAAACGGGAAGTAAATAATTCAAAGTTGACATAATCAGATTACCTGCACCACACACCCTAAAAAATAAGAGAACTTTATATACAAATACAAGAGCCAAATACAGTCACAGGTATACAAAATCACTCACAGCTCCTATAATGAGTGGATCTTATATTAGTTAAGTCTATGTCGCTTCAGAAATAAGACCTGAGCAATATTATATTATATTATATTATGTTATGTTATGTTATGTTATATTATATATTATATTATATATTGTTGTGTTGTGTTAGTTATGTTATGTTATGTTCATCAAGTGAAAAACCCAGGGTGCCTAATCTACAGGTGGTCCAGACTCCATCACACACTACCCCTCCCATAGAACCCCTCCCACAGTACCTCTCGCACAGTACCCATTCCCACAGTACCTCTCCCACAGTACCTCTCCCACAGAACCCCTCCACAGTACCCCTCCCCGTGCCATCCACCAAGTACCCCTCCACAGTACACCCTCACCGTGCCCTCCACAGTACGCCTCCCAAGGCCCTCCCACAGTACCCTCCCACAGTACACCCCTCTACAGTACCCCTCCCTGGTGCCTCCTGTACTCACAGTGCCTCTCCCACAGTACCCCTCCACAGTACCTCTCCTAGTACCCCTCCCACAGTACCCCTCCTGATGCCCCTCACAGTACACCCCTCCTACAGTGCCCCTGCAGTACAGTGCAGTATTAACCTGTTACCCCAAAAATACAGGTGTGGTCACTGGTGCATGAAGACTTAGGTACAGTTAAAATATCAAGATTGAGGAATACAATTACAGTAAACCTTCCCCACATCAGAGGAGGATTCTGCTATTGAAAATATCCGTTATTGAGAGGTTGGTATTGAGAGGGTTTGCTGTATTGAAATCTACTGGAGGCACTGTACAATAATTACAAGATGATAACAGTACCTGCCTCTTTTTATAAAACCTGTATGACAATTATTATTATTATTATTATTATTATTATTATTATTATTATTATTATCATTATCATTATCATTATCATTATCATTATTATCATCATCCTCCTCCTCCTCCTCCTCGGTGGAATTTGGTAGGTGAGGTACGTAGGCTTTACTTCCCTGTACCAATTACAGTACTTGTCTTACTGTATTACCAGAGGCTCGGGTAACTACTGTATTTAAGGTAGGGAGATATACAGTCACTAATCGTATGTCTCTCTCCATAGCTAACAACTGTTTACATGATGGTCTGTTAAGGTGGTGCACGGGAGGTAAACAAATAGGGGAGACGGAACTAAACTTTATATACGTTGTCCCTTTAATGTTTATTTTTATTATTTTTTTCGTATACAAGCTATTTTAGGTTTATGTGTTTGATCCTCGAGTGTTTGTGGTGTAAGTTAACAACAATGAGGATAACAATAATAATAACGGCAACAATTACAACAGCAACCACCACAACAACAATAGAAACAAAAACAGCAACAAAACGACAGCAATAACAATAAAAGTAACATCCACCACAATAACAACAACAACAACGAGACTTTTGCCGGTCTTGTTTTGTTGCCGCTGAAAAACATTATTATTTTTTTACGATTTTTTCCAAAATAATTGTGGAGGTTGACTAGAATGCGGTAACCTGTACAGAGAGGGCCTGTGACCTGTACAGAGAGGGCCTGTGACCTGTACTGAGAGGGCCTGTGACCTGTACAGAGAGGGCCTGTGACCTGTACAGAGAGGGCCTGTGACCTGTACAGAGAGGACCTGTGACCTGTACAGAGAGGGCCTATGACCTGTACAGAGAGGGCCTGTGACCTGCCTGTGCCTAAGAGACCCCTGTGACACTGCAGAGACCTGTGACCTGTATAGAAAGGACCTATGACCTGTACAGAGGACCTGTGACCTGTACAGAGAGGACCTGTGACCTGTACAGAGAGGATCTGTGACCTGTACAGAGAGGACCTGTGACCTGTACAGAGAGGGCCTGTGACCTGTATAGAGAGGACCTGTGACCTGTACAGAGAGTACCTGTGACCTGTACAGAGAGGACCTGTGACCTGTACAGAGAGGGCCTGTGACCTGTACAGAGAGGGCCTATGACCTGTACAGAGAGGACCTGTGACCTGTACAGGGAGGGCCTATGACCTGTTCAGAGAGGACCTATGACCTATTTTTTTGGTGTTCTGAGCCAGGCCCGACTACCTGTAAGATTTTTGTTGATCCTAGAGCACACACACACACACATCTCTCTACTATCGTCAAAGGTAAAACTGCCACACATTTACAGTTAGACGGCAGGAGTGATACTAAATTAGTGTTGGCAGCCCAGACCTTAAGACCAGTAAGATGTGCTGTGAATAATAGGCTGGGAGGCGGAAGTGTTTAAGCTCGGGAAACAAGAGAAGAAACAACAACAACTCCGAGGTGATGGCCAGGCTGGGAGTCGACCTGTTGCCTCGAACGTGCCACACTTCTCATATTTAAAGATCTAGAGGTTATATCTTAACTCCTAATTCTCAATAAAAGTGTTTCTTGCGTTAAAATTTCTACCTTTACTGACAAACTTCACTTTCGGCCTTAGTGAATTATACATCATTTGTACACCGAGACTATACCGTAATTATTAGCCTGGTTTATTATATCCTTATATTAGGGATAAAGTGATGGACGAAGCTTTCAGAATCCTGCCCTGCTTGTTGACTTGTAGGCGCCAACAACAAATGAATCGGCAACTCAAGTCACCTGTGTGACAAGTTCCCGGTCCAGCCAGCCAGCCGCCTCACTTCAATCAGTTGTTATTGTGGTGGCGGAGTGGGAGGACGTTCCGCTCCTGCTCTCCCTCATACACTGACCGCGCCGCTGGAATATACGGGAGTTGTAGTGGTGAATCATTGGTTAAATTAACTATACATCCGCGTATAAGTGAAGGAAAACTAATGT